TGATCAGAAATGAGGACTGTGACGTGGAAGATTTGACTCCCGACGACTTTGCTGATGACGATGATGGAACTCCGCCCGAACACATAATATATATCATGCAGCAGGCGTCGCTTTGTAAGATCTGTATGCAGATACCCCCGGTTCTTGTTATGAACGAATCTTTAATGCGGTTTAGTGGGTGACATGCTTCTCTTCGAGTACTGCCCAGGCGCGTCGAAAAACATCGCTGAGAAGCCGGAAGTAGTCCGGGACCTTGCCAGGCGGCTGGAGGAATGGAAAAGTGTTATTCCCAAGGAACTCGAGTATAACCAGAGCTCGAGGAATCTATGGGCGATAAAATTGCAATTGAGTTACCGGCATGCACTCCTTCCCGCACAACCAGAAAAGTTCAGGAATACTAATAAATATATCTAGGAATGCATTCGTTTTGTACCACCGTCCACTCTGCAGTAATCTCAGTGGCCACCACAAAAGACTTTATGAAGGTCGTTTGACGGTGGCAGCTATTGTTGTTGGAAAAGTTGTTAAGGATCTGTTGGAAGGGTTTGGCGCAAGGTTCATGTGTTCTCATGAGTATGTATCGCTTCACTATTTTTGTGAATCAGACTCTAATAACCGGGCAGTATGGCTTGCTTCTTCTGCTCCATGACCATACATCTGGTTGACAGTCGTACCCCCAACACAACTCTGGCCAAGGAAGCCGATGGGAGGTTCCAGGTATCCCTGGTACAGATTCGCGAAATGGAGAAGATTCTCCCAGTCGCTCGCTGGTTTAGAGACCGCCTGAAGCACGCAATACAGGCACGGGAGGAGGCAATAGCTGCGGAAACGGAACGAAAACCAAACTCCCAGAAGTTGCAACAACATCAGCAACAACAGCGACAACCTCAAACCCGCAATCAGCCATCAATCCTCCCTCCTCCACCGACCCAGGTCCCCTCCCAACCCCAAATGGAAACCCCCCTTCCAGCCCCATCAGCATCCCCACACATCCTGACCACCACTATCGCCGAAGCTCAGCATCAACAATCACAACTCTGCTCCCCGGACCTCCAATCGAAGCGATTCAGGCCTCACTATGCACCCGACCGTGCGACCATGTCTTCTGCTGTCCCAATGGGGCCGATGCAAGGGACGGGGGAAGTCACGAGCGTAATGGTAGACGCCTGGGCTTCCCATAACTGCTCGTTTGTAGGATTGGGGGGAGCGCTGAATCCTCAATCGGGCATGCTGGGCATGGGTGGTGGTGGTGGGGGTGGTGGGCTGGGAGAACATGCCGTTGGCGAGTCTGATTATCAGTGGGTTTGGGATAGTGTTGGAGGCTTGGGGAGCCCATATGTGCAGATGAGGTTTGAGGCGGAATAAAAAAATTTATATTTTCCCGTTTCTCCCCTTCGATTCTTCTAATTTATCTAAGGCGTTTACTCTTATTTCTGTTTTCCCACCTTGCCACTGTATACTAACTTACGGGTTTGGTTTTTAAAGAATTTATTTGCCGGGGGGGAATGGCTGAAGGGGTTTCGGCGTTTTCTTTGATTTCTTGCTTCTCACTTCCTCCCTCTTTCTTTTCCTTTTTTTCTTTTGACCTAAGAATATCTAGTGTTTGATGATGTAGCATGTACTGCGTCGGATGCTTGTTTTTAACTTCTTGTGTTTCGTCTAGCGAGGGATACCATGTGTTTTAGACACGGGAGGAAAGGTGCTCTCTTTCACAATGTATTCGCAGCGAGAGTTTCATAAAACCATTATTTGACAAGGAAAAGCAACAGCGCAAAATCCCTGCGTAAACTGAGCGAGCAATGCTTGAAGCGGGGGGGGCAAATCACTATCCGGCTCTCCATATCACGAGATGAGAACACAGAATATTGCAATAGCATTGGGAGGACTTCCGATACCGCCAACCCAGCCCAGCCGGAGGGCACAGAGTCAAGTCAAAGAGCCCAAATAGAGGAGGAAAAGCATACAGTCGCGCCTCGCTATAACGAACGAAAAATCTGGAACCCTTGGCGTTGCTTAAAACAGGGTGCCACTGTCCCTTCAACATTCGCTGGCGGCGAGCAAAAAACTCCTCTTCCCCACATCCCGACACATGTTCGCCAAACTCTCCGGGTCCCATAACCCTCAACCGGACACCCCTAAAAGCGCAGGAAAACAGTCATGAAGACAGAGTAGCACCGTACTCCTTCTCGACGGGCCACGACTCGAGTACCGGTATTCGCTCGCTCTGCTCTTCACCAATGTACTAGTACGGTACTTAGTGTACTCGTACGGTACCTCTGCCGGCCGTCGTGCCCGAACACGTGGTTCCCGCGGTGCCCCTGGACGCACTGCTCGGTAAGAAAGAAAGAAAGAAAGAAAAACAAATCGGAAAATGAGACACGGGATTTTGGAGTTCTGATTGGGAGGATTGGGTGGCTCGAGCCAATCGGTTTCCGTGTTTCCAACCCCGGTTTTCCGTTTTTTTCTTTCTTTTTTTTCTTTCTTTCCCTCTTCCCCCTCGTACCGCCGGCTGCAGTGCTTTGTGAAACCGGAAGATCAGGTTCCCGATTTGGAGCCTGCCGACGGCCTGGAGGGCTGAGTATCATAGCTGATCCGTGTTCTGAAAGGGCTTGGGTGACCACGGTTCGTGCGGGTGGGGATTGTGATACTTGAGTACTTGTAGGGTCGGTCTACGGGATGTGTTGGTCGGGGGATCACTGCATATCTGGGAGTGCGGGAGGGATAGAGTACAATACTTGTAAGTCTTAGTTAGCATTATGTATCAGAAGTGCCAACTGATTAGAAAATATTGCTGATATATACAGTACCGGTACTCGGATAACACAAGGGACGACTCCCTGACCGGCAGGAAACTCCCGCCACGCGGGGGGGGGGGCGTGCAGGAAAGTCCGTCCCACTGGCTCCCGTTCCACATATCCATATTATAGTCCAGAGATCACCAAATGCGAGGGCATATCCCAAATCTCCAACCCTAGCAATGCGCGCAGGACCCACCCAGCCAAATGGCAAACCGGCACCCACCGCCAACCATTACCCCCGCAATATCCCAAGAAATGGATGCACGAAAAATGGTATCATACTTCTGAGGAATAACCTCTCCACTTACTGTAGCCTCCGCAAGAGACTGCTTCACCCTTTCAAGCCTCAAGAGGTTCCATCTCTGCGGAAGGGAAATTCGTCAGCACATCTATCAAAACGGGTTTCTCCAGTCACGCTGATGATGGGGTCCGGTTCGGGTGAAGCTAGACTTCGGTTTTTCTTCGGTTTCTTCGGGTTCTTCTAGGGGAACTAGATTCTCTGCCAGCCTATGTACAGTACCAGGTATACAGCAATATGATACCGCATTAACACCTGGGGATGTACGAGGATGAGGCAGGGAGAAGAAGGATGGTGGGAAGTACGTGTCAACTCCCCAGAATATCAACCTTCCACGCCGTAAGACCATCGAGGTTCTCTTCTCCTAGTTATCTCGGGGGGTTCGCAGTGTGAAATATGCAGTTCGTGCGAGCGTCTCAAGGATATGATTACGATTTCCAGACCATTAACTTTGGAATGTACTGTCCGCTATACACGATAATGGATCGTACTTGTATACCCTATTTACATATGCTGAAGTTGAGCACTACGCCTTATTGATAATAGGATTACCAGCCTCTTCTCCCACCCTTTCACCTTCTACCTCCTCCTCCTCATGGTGCTACACAGCAGCTCGCATCAGGGTTGGAAAAAAAAAAAAAAATATTAGGCAGAATTTTTCAAGTTCATTTAGATGCTTGCCGGCTGCGGGAGCTAGTTAATTAATCAGCCCCGGTCCACGATTTACCCTTGAAGTTTTCAGGTTTGGAATCGGTAAGGGTCGGTGGGTCTACCTTTGGCAGGCTTGTACGATATAATACAACCGTCCACATGATATCACTCGTTGGTCATGCCATGTGGGCGGATTGCAGTAATTGGCAACGTCCGGGCAGGGTCGCCGGGATGTGAGATCCCCTATAGAGAAAGAGAAAAATGTACTTGTACATTAGGAAGCTGGGATGCGCATACAATAGGATACTGTCGGATAAGTGATATCACAGGGTGGGTAAAGTTCAAGTTGTTCTCCCTCGGATACCCATTCCCCTTGAAAATTCACGCTGAGACCCGAACCAACCAACAAACCAACCAACCCGACGGATAACCATAGAGCCTGGGGGCTGGTGGAGGAGGGGGGGGGGTCAAAAACCCACTTGTTCTCCAACTCTACAGCGCTTGTAAATATCATACGAGTGGAATATCTTGAGATACGGCTAGTTCGGGGATCTCTGGCACTCTTTGCGTAGCCTAGGGATACTCGCGTCTATGCCATCGTCTTCTTCCTCTATCATGCCACGCTTCTCCGGGCGGTGGTGAGGGAAAGGACGTGTTAAGGCTACCCCTATCATACTCTTCTTCTTCTTCTTCTCTCTTATGATATTATGACACTTGCGCAAGCGACCCTAAGATTTGGACACCCGCACCATGCGAACGCAGTAATAGGTTACCTGGTTTTTTTTTCAGCGAGGTTAAGTTAAATCTTGCAAGATAATGTGGTTCTTTCATACGATCGTATTATCGAGATTATTCTCCGAGTGAGAGGCCGTGAGTAGAGGTACTCACTCTTTTATCCGGAGAACCTCTTAGTTGTGCTCGTACGGCTGCGCCACTGGCTGTCGCCGCGGTTGATGGGAGAAAAAACCCATGACTGTGGAAACATTGTATATTACCCTCCAGAACAGGCAAATAAGGAATTTGTAATACAAAGATGGCTGACGTAAGTGCCAAGTTGGATGAATTGGGGTTTGTGGTGGTTTGGTGGGTTGATCGGGCGCTTTATCTATAATATTAATATAATAATATTATTATAGAGTTGACAGCGGGGAGAGCCGAGGGGAATTCGCCGGGAAGCTGCCGCGTTCGGGTATCTCGGGCTGATAAGGGTTGTTATCCACGAGGTTGTGCTGTGCTGGGTGATAGAGAGTGGGTTGGAGATCAGAAGAGTTAAATAAATTGGTATGTACTAAAGTATGATATTACATGACAGATATTTCAAAACTGGCGCCCCTAGGAAAAAAATAAAGGACAAATGACTATGCAGGTTGTTACCGGAAGAACATCGCTCTGATAAAGAAGAGAACCAGACCCAAACATAAACCACCATATAGTATGACGCCGATATACAAACCACTTATGCTGCCTAGCCACCTGAAAACTCTACACACGGCCCCACAATCCTCGCGGTCTTCAACTCCCTCGACCTCCTCGAGCCTTCCGGTTCTCCCATCAGTGAATAGCATCCTATCCTTATGGATCTCCATAACCGGCATCGGCCACCTCCCCACACCGCCCGCGCGGTTTATCCCGACAAACACAACTGTATAATTAAAATGATACCGATCATCCCAATCCTCGCACACGGCTCTCGAGCAGTAATCCGTAACGGTAAAATTCACCCTTGCCGTCTCCCCCTCGACGATTCCACCAAACTTCATTTCATACGGCTGCCCGGGCGGCACACGGCCCACCGGTGGTCTCGAGTAGAGGTACTTTTCCACCCCGCGCGTGTTTGCCACTCTTCCAGTCTTTCCTGTTTTGACGAGGCCACTGCCCCAACCCACAGGCCAGTACAGTTTGAGCTGGTTCGCAAAATCGTCCTGTGGTGGGGTAGGTGCTGAGTAGCGTAGCTCTCCGCCGACGTAGACGTAGGTACTATCGCCCTCCATGTCGTCCATCATTGTCTCGGCCGTGACGTCCCATAGCACCCGCCCTTCCTTCCCGCGAATCCCGTTGAGTAAGTACGCCGGGAATACCGACGTCATGTAATTGATGCTTGAAAAACCCAGGTCGCCGAACCCCTTAGCTTCGGCATCCAACGCGAGAAATAAGTCATTGGGATCAAACGTTCGAAGCCCATAGCTGTGCGTCGGGCCGAGATATAGTGTTCCCGGAAGCGTCAATGGGTGTTTGAGATCCCCGCCCAGGCCAACGGAAGCACTCCATGCATTCGGAGAATGTAGAATCACCGTGCAATTGCCCTCGTATAATGCATCGACACCGTAGTATACGTAGCATTCTTCCTCTAGGCACTTATATTTCTCGTGGTATGTTTCGTAAGACTTATCGCTATCCAGGAGGAGTTCTGGGTCGACTTTCGACGGGAAGGCCCGCGTCGTGTGTGGCGTTGTCAGGCCGAGGAGGAGAAGGAGAATTAAGCCTCGGGGGAGGGTTATCAACGATAACATTTCGGCAGCGGGGGAGCGAGGAGGGGATCAGTCGGCAGCAGCGGCAGGAAGAAGGTCGGGAGGTAATGATAGTCTAAGCTTCGTGAAATTTTTTTTTTCTCGGGGGGAACTCACATTGGAACTTTTTACAGGAGGTGCTGAGTGAGCGGCGGCCAAGATTTGCGCCAAGTGCCAAGTGAAGTTCGGCTGTTACACCAGCCGCACCGGAGGACAAATGACCCGTGAGGAGTGGGAGAGCCTGTTATTAAGGGCAAGATCATCCTTGTAGGTCTGGGGAGCTGGAAACTGAAAGCTTGGGTTTCGTGATGAAGGTTGGTAGAGGGGGGAGATATTTTGGTTGCCCTGGTGATAAGTTGTGTATGATGACAGCCCACCAGGTGGCTCCCGCTCTTCCCGGCAAGGATCGGTTTCACAAGGCCATTCTTGTGGAACTTTTAGTCACGAAATGTCACTCGAATACTGGAAGCTAACTGGGTTGGTAGTGATCGCGGGAGCGCTGGCGCGGTCCATAATTGGCTGAAATAAATGTAATTATTTTGAATCCACGTGGGAGGAACATGGAAATTTGAGTGGGATTGGTTCAATTAGATCCTTTAATCTTGTTTCTGGTTCTCGGATCATCACGAGGTATGATGGAATAGCACAGGTGGTGGGCTAATTGGATCGAGGCGCTCAGAATTTGTGGTAAGCATATAGCTATCTATACTCAAGATGCCTGCGGCCTAACTTACTCACTCCCTGAGATTCTTTCCTTAGTGACAAAGTGACCAAACATAGCTCAAGTATATAGACATTGGGGGGCACAAGACCCAAGCTGACTAAAGCCCATCACGCAGCCAAACGGCTTACCAGCAACACCATGGCTATAACTTCACTAAAGACGGAAACATACCCCTCAAGATCAACTTCCCTCCTAGAAATTCTATAGCTAAAGAATCTCTTTTAAAGGGCCTACCGCCTTGGTCTCTCATATCATATCATATGATACCACGCCTTGCTTCGCTAACTGTGCCCTAATATTATGAATCATTTGGTTCTCGTTGGCACAGCGGGATTCTTACCTTATCGTCATCTATCTTCCGCACCGACCTTGCAACCAGCTCGTGGTAAGTGTCCAAGCTTGTTTGTCGGTTTCTGGGGGAACACGCACCACCGGTGCCAAAGCTTATCAACCTTCACCCGCAGGCTCTCCTCACCACACAGACGCTCATCATACCCTTCTGCCACCAATCTCACCACATCGAAATTCTTTTCAAACTTTCACTCGCACAATAGAAAAAAATGCCTCCTGACATCGCCACAACTACCACTCTTATCGACCATAAAGAATCTAGCTCCTCGTTCGTTTACAAACGCTACCTCCACAAACTCCCCCATTCCGCTTTCTTCGTCGTCAAAAACCACTCGGAATCGGCTGCTTGCATGGCTTGCGATGAGACACCATGCATGGCATTAAACCAGTGCACTAAATGCGACCTCCAACTATGTAGTGCCTGCGCCTTCATCCTCGTCCACGGCAACTGTCGCGGGAATCTGAAGCGGTTGATTGCTCAAGTTGCGAGATGGAAATTGGGGTACTCAGTCGAGTTTTTGGAACGTGAGGCTGAGGAGGAGCGTGCAAGTAGGGCGAAGGAGATGGGGTGCGTCATTAGAGCGGATGGGAATGGCGACGACGATCAGAAGCAGGAAGGAGGGGAAGGAGAGGAGGGAGAGGAAGGGGAGGAAGGGGAGGTGAAGGGGGAGAGTGAAAGGCTGACCGCGGTAGAGCATCGCATGTGCGCTATTGACGATGGGAGGCTTTGGAAGGACAGCGCTTCGGAGAGTTCTTCTGATGATGAAAGCTTGGACCTTAGTCAGGAAATTTTGGAGGATTCGTTTGAAATAGCCTTGGGATGGAGCACTCTTGGTGGAGGGCGTTATGGGGGGGATGAGGTATGAAACTCTCGGATGTTTGTTCTACTTTGATTCTGTATAACTTTTTTTCTTTCTCTCTTTTTTTTCCTGAAAGGTCTAACTGAAAGATTTGATAGAATTACACTGACAACGTGGAGATTCTTGAGGCCCTTGACTAAATAAAAGAGGAGGAAGAGACTAGTTCCTGCCTACTTGTCCCCCCAAAGTCTAAGGAATCATGGTTAATTTCACTCGTTTTCTTTTCCTACTCGGCTGGGTTTAAAGATACACCTCTCTTCTTTTTTTCCCCTCCCTTTCTCTTCTTCTTCCTTTCCTCTATGATATACTTTGTAATTAAGGGAGGGGAAGGTATAATTATGGATTTACTGGCTGTGATTTGTATCTTAAGCTCTTCTAAAATAAGATACTTCTGTTGAATTGGGGGTTGCGTTGCTTCTGTGCAGCACGAGGGCATCCGTTTTGGTAATACTAGGACTTTCAATTTTTAGTTCAACACTTGGCCCTAGGCTTGTGCTCTTGCGGGAGCCTTTGGCGAGCTGGAATTTTAGTGTAAAGAACTAAGTAACAAACCGCAATTCTAGCCGTTACAGCTAACAGTGGCAACAAAGCCCTTAGATCCGAGTCAATAGCAGTCGACTGTACCTCAACCACAACACAATACCTTGCCAACGATAATATACGGTCCTAGCAGTCTCAAGATGCTAACTACCTGTCGCTATTGTGACTGGAAACTCGATCCTGGCTTCTTCCGCCCCAACACTAATGATATAGACGCCAACCGTAGACTTATAGTATCAAGCGCTAATAGCTCAGTTGGGAGAGCGTCAGACTGAAGTTTATCTTCAGTGCTTAGCAAACTCGGGGTAATCTGAAGGTCACCCGTTCAATCCGGGTTTGGCGCATTTTATTTTATTTTTATTTTTCCCGTTCATGTCAGTTGGGTAGGTTGCTGTTGTGACTTTTTTTTTTTCCTGAAGAGGATTGGTATTGAGGAGGGAGTCGGGTGCGGGAGTTGCCGGTGGTAGATGGGAGGGTAGGGCTTGTCGGTGCTGCGCTCTTTGGTATCATATGTTGGTGATTGGGCTGCTGGCAGGGCGGGGTTTCACGGCTCGTGGTGTACCGGTACGAGGAATTTCAGCGATCTTTCGTCAGGGATTGTGATAGTCATTTTGTTTGAGAGAGCTAGAAAAGTTCTGGTGGGTTGTTCCTCCGAGTGATATCTTGTGCATACTCTGAATATACAATTAAGCATGGTTTATCGCTATGTTGGTGACTACTAGGAATTTTTGGACGGATTTGAGATGGGATAAACGACCTCGAAGTTGTCTTGTTGGTAACTGGGCAACTGGAGAAGTAGTGGACAAGGGAGGTATAAATAGTAGAGAGTATCGCAGAGCATGGTTGGGCGTTTTCCCGAGAAGGTCGCAAGTGATTCTCCTGCTTGGGTTTCCCCCGTCTTTCCCAATATGGACTAGGAAACAATTTTTTTAACTTGATTCTAGGGGTGGGAGTTCTATGTTTTGATGGTGGTTCACACTTGGGTTTAAGGTGGTGGATAACTTGTGGGTGCTGTGGCTTTCTTACTACAGGAATCAAACTTCCGAGTGTATTCCCCAAGCGGGTCCGCAAGGAAGAAGCAAGAGTGTTCGACACAATTGAGTTACTAACCGGCAGACATTTTTCACTCACTTCGGTTCAGCCTTAGCACATCCAGCAGGCGATCACTGGTCAAACCCCACTCGAGCCGGAAGAGGAGAAGAAGCATACTGGAGAATAGATGGTTTTGATTTCTAGTTCCAGCATTTTTGTGTAAGTCCGAGAAGCCAAGTAAAAAAGGAAAAGGCCACATAAATCTGTGGATAAACAAAGCTCCGGATAGTTGGATGATAGTTTGGGCGGATGAGACTTGATTTTGTCATGTTTTAACTTGCCCCGCCCCTATCCATAGTTTAATTGCTAGCGGGACGTCCATTGAAGCGATTGGACCGTTTCTTATACCCCTCGTGCTCATCTTCGATATGGCGTTCCAGGTTGACGACCGAGAAGATGACGGTTATGACGATGTCTATGGTCTCCAGCATGAGGTGCTTCAGGATCCACATCTGCCCCGTGAGGAGGTGAACCTGCGCGATTGGGTGGTTGGAGTTGGCGATGTATAACTTTGTCAATACGAGGCTAAATTAGTTATCATTCTCTCCTATCTCATAGCCAAGGGGGGCAGGGATGAAGTAATAGTTACCCTGACACAACCCCCTTTAACCTCCGGGAACATTTTAGTAACCTTCTCCTCAACCTTCGGTTTTCTGAAGATGAGGTTGAGTGAAGAATTATCTAGCGAAGCCCCGCCACCACGGCCGTTGGACGGGCTAGTGGGGCTAGTGGCAGTGCCGGTGGAGGGGTTTCGGCAGTGTAGTTTCGAGCTAACGTTTATATCCTGCGTCTTGTCGTACACGATCCTCCAGCTGGCGTCCTCGGACACCCACCAGTATGTCTTCGTGCCGGGTCCGGTGTCCGAGAAGAAGAGGTTTACCGGCTGTGACTCCGCGGATCCCAGCTCTTCCAGGGTTGTGTATAGGGGATCGCGACCTGCCTCACCGCCCACTTTTCCCGTGAAGAATTCAGTGAGGGAGCGGTCGGGCCCAGAGCTCGGAGTTATGAGATGGGGCGTGGGATTTAGGTATATCTTTGCCGCCGGAATGTCACGCGGGGTATCGCTGGGTACCCTCTTCATCTCTCTCCTCGGAGGGGTGACCGGTTCAGCGCCAGTTGAGGCGGGGGTGGTTTGCTGCTGACCCAGACGGGCCCTCTGCCTCAGGTTGCTGATGGATATCGTCTTCTTGAAGCCATTCTGGGAGCCAACATGGTCGTCGAGGGTCGGCGAGCGGGGGAGCGGGTAGGAAATCGGTGCTACGTATATTTGCTTCTCCTTCTCCTCTTCTCTCCCCTTGCCACCGCCGCCGCCGCTGCCGGAAGACACACCCGACCCATTCTTGCTGTGGCGCCTCTCCGGCAGGGGCGGAATCAAGCGCCACTCGATAAATTCCTCGTAGAAACGGATGCAGGCTACCGTTGAAGATTGCATGGTCGAGAAGTCCTTCCGGTCCAGGAACGATTGTATCAAGTTTGGGCGAGGGAGGCTGTTTTCACCTTCGTGACTAATGCATTCGCTGGAATAGGTTGGAACTTTGGGGTTTTTGATGGGTGTACAGTTGGAATTGCCTGCCTGAGCCCCGAGGCCCTTTAGGTTCTTCCATATCTTCCTGCCCAGGCTATTGAATTTGCTCGCTCCTTGCGCGGGATCTGCGGTGTCGCGCTGGATCATCTTGTCGGCCGGATGTCTACCGGGATAGAATATGTAGAATGGCGAGCATGGATTCGGACCTAGGCCATATGCTGTCGAGAGATGTATCGTTCTATAATGGTGAAAATTACATAAGCGTGAGTAGGGGGTACGACAACCCAAGTTTCCCTTCTCACTTGCCGACATGGCGGGGGGAACCGCAATTGTGTTGGTCATGACAATGGCAAGGCGGAGTGGGAGGAATAACCTACTTGTAAACATTAAAAATTAACAAGTCATCACGATGATAAGAGTTTGTATCATTGGTGGAGGGTAAATTAGCAGAGTAGTCCCTCCCTTCCTCAAAGAGTGAAGAAAGGAAACACTCTTGCAATTGCTGAAACGAAGTGGCCCACTCGGGCTTTAGGTGTGCGGTTGCCGGATTGAGATCCTCCAGCGGGGAAACTAATGGAGCATGGACCCGGTCGAATGGCCTGTAAGCTCCGGCCATGCTTCATGAACGAGTGGGGGGCGAGGTTTTAAAATAGAGGTTTGTTAATTGATATATTAAAGATTACGGAAGGGTTCTCAACTGGATTCTTCGCCTCCTGGATGTTGCCTCTGATTGAAGGGAAGAAGTGGAGAGAGGGGTGGTAAACAAATGGGAGGGTTTCTTGGGAAGAAGGAGGGCAGTGTGATAACGGAATGGGAGGGCTCTCTTAATGATTGTTCTTGCCGCTCCATTGAGCTATGATATCGCTGTCACAAAGCTTAAGATACGCTGTCACAAATCTTAAAGTAGGGCTGTATCTTGAACAGCTAGCAGTAACTCTTCTCTATTGCCAAAGTGAAAGACCTAGGTGTTCGTGGTTGTTGTGGGCCCAGGTATTCTTAGTAGGTTATAAAAGTCAACGAATCACATTCTGTGAAGGAGAGTGTGCAATCTACGAAAAATGTGGGAAGCGAACTCTTATGAGACTGGACGTTTAAAGAAGCCAAGTGGATAGTAGATTTTAATTACAAGCTCACACAGCGTCATAATAAATAAGTAAATAAATAAAAACGCATCCTCTTACTCGTTGAAGCAGTGATAATTCCGTGGGAACCAGAATTAACTAACCTTTGCTAAATGTTGGCTTTGCCCTCCTAGTAAGTTTTGGTGGTTTGTTGTCTTGAGTTTGTCTCGCAAAGAATGTTGTTTGCGATATTTCCTACGCCTTTTCTAGGGGAGGATGCTTTGGACTGCCTTGAATACGGTCCGTCTATTTGAGTTCTCGTACTAGGGCTCAAATTAAGTTATGGTGCACATCAACGAAAAAACGCAGCAAAATCCAACGCCTGTTGCGCTGTAACTTGGTTTGGGAACCCTCACCCGGTGCCCACCCTCTGGACTTCAAAGCAGCCCCGGCGATGGATAGAGTGAATGACGGGGTCGGGCTTCAGGATTCCCTCCATCTCGTTCCGATAATATTAATATCTCTCTGTACCTGCATACATACAGACGTATAATACATACACACAACACTCTACGAGTGGTAGTTGACAGCTAGATATTACGGAGCAAAATATAGTGTAGATACTTGAGCTATGATCTCACATTGCAGAAATGAGCAGCCTATTCTATTGGCAATGTGTGCTTGTACGTCTGTGCCTGCAGAAACTGGAAGCATAGTTAATTGAATTAGGTGCTTGTCCCACTTTCGTACCATGTACAGTACAAGAAGAACCATGAGCGAAGTGCTACGAGAACACCCGTTATCCAGCTAATTGACCAACAACAATAGGAATTCTTGCTTGCTGCCGGCTGCCTGGATTGTGTTCTCGAATGCAGTTCACAGAAGCTCGGCCGCTGCTTTCCAACCACGACGGGTGTAAAGTGCTTGTTAAAAATGGTAAGAGTCTTGTTCGTGCTTTATCTTAGAGGGAATTTTGACATTTCGTTTGTAAGCAAGAAATACCTTAGGGCCCAAAATAAAAAATAATAATTTAGACGACAGGGGTGGGAGTGGTGTCGAAGGTCTCAACTTGCCTGGCCTTTTTCTCTCTTTTACTTTGATCCCTTGGGGAGGTTTAGTGAGTGCCACAAACTCCCGTTCGGGCTCGGGGGGAATTTCTGCGGGTGTTTCATCTCCAATTTTTGTTTGTTAAGTCACTCAATCCTAATCTATCGTATCCCTCTACAAATGGGACAGACAATAGAGCACAGGCTAGAAAAATATAAATAGCTGGCGTAGCTCCCCTTAACTCGAAAACAGTATAGTACTATAATGACATAAATTGTTATATATATATTGCTAGGAGTCACTAGCATTAGAGTTTGATGGTGCTTATGCTGGGATCAGCTCTTAAGAGATCTGCACACCTAAGAGCCTGGTGGCCAGATCTATGTTGACGGTGCAGGTGAGAGTCTCCTTTTCTATCTTGGAGTGGCGGGGACTATCAAGTATACCCCCCCATCCCTTTAGTAGGTCAATCTCAAGACAGTTCTCATAAGCCACAGGGAATCCCTCCAACTTTGATTTCTCAGAAGAGGATTCTCTTTTAATCGGCGGTATTGATTCAGGTTTAAGGCCCTCGATATATATCACTTAGCCAGCCAGACTATTAGTTCAAGATTCAAAGAACAGTTTTTATAGGGTATCCACCTACCCAGGGTTCCCAGAGCTCTCAATTCTACCTCAATCTCCCTACCTTCTTTACCTGTTTTCACGCTCCACCTGGAAACCGCGGCGGCTCCTGTCATATTATCCTTTATTCCCAAAACCGCAACGTTATCCTGAACCACTGCCGCTGTAAAAATCTCCCAATCACCAGCTTCCAATCCTACAACCATCAGTTCCCCTTCAACTTTTTTAAAATTCTGGTTGTTGTGTCCCCTGACTACCCACTCTCCTCTCGGCCAAAATGCTTCAATGAGCTCCGCTATGTAGGTACCTGATACATTGAAAACACCCAGCAGGTGAACCTTGCCACTCTCGTTTAAGTAGCTATTTTTCACGCAGAGAAGTCTGCTTGAGCGATATCCAAGATAAGGATCTACTGCGTATGCCATTTCACTAGGACGCAGGGCGCGAGGAGGGGCTTCGGCAGAGGGCGTCACAGAGACCATTGAAGACACCAGATATCGATCGTGTGATTCTGGGGAGTCTGTTATGAAAATGGGGCCACCAGAAAGGCAGCGGGCGGCAGCATGAATAGAAGCATATTGCGGAAGAGAGGTTTGAAACATATCCCAATCTGTCATGCTTAGTACTAACGGAGGGGCAAGGAAACCTATTGGAACTAACCGGGCAAGATATGAAGTTGGCTGAAAAGTATCATATTCATTGCATTGGCAAATATATGCCATGAATGACTTTGAGGGACATTTGGATAGAAGTCTTCAGGACAACATATCTTAGCGTTTGAGAGCTGTTAATATTCAGGAATGGCTTAGCATACCATCTGAAGTCCTAATCAATGTCAACCTTTGAACACATCAACATTGCATCGGGATGCAGCGTGGCAGACCTTAGGAACGCTTTCAGTCCGTCATCCCGTAGCAAAGCGGTGTACAATATTTGTGGTACATGAGACATGCAATATATAACCCTTTGGTCAAAGTATTTTATAGCTATCAGACCCTAGTTTAGCGCGAGAAGGAGGACTTTACAAGGAATTTATTACCGCTTTTTCTAAAAGCTTCTTGATAAGGACCAGCTAGCCTGGCCTTGTCAGCGCCTGAAGTAAGCTCATCGATCCGACATTGAACGTCTGTTTTCACACAATCGATACCACTCTCCGACAGGAACCTAAAATCACCAATAAGCAACCTGGATTCCAGAAAATCACTACAGGTACACTCGCTTGTAAAAGTCATCATAAAATCTCTCAATATCCTCCGAATCAACCATTGTCAATTTCTTAGTTATCGAATTGACGTTGTCCCTCCAAGAAACTTCAATGGTCTTGTATTTCTCTGTAAGAGCACTATTTGGGGTAATACCATCCCAATAGCCGTGCTTGTTTCATTCAATATACCGCCTGCGATCCATAAACACCATCAGGAGTACGTACCAGTGCATGCCAGACTCCAATATGCTTGATCTTCGGAAATCTTTCCCGTACTTTAGTGACAATTCCTTTCAGGCCGCCAGGAAACTTCTCATTTGCTTCGAAAGCTGACCATGTTCCGTTAAAACAATAGCCACGTCCAGCCTATATTTTTCCATTAGTTTTGGGCTCACGGTAATTGGACCAGAATGGCATACCAGAGTTTGCCAGTTATCATCGATAACGAGGTTGGAGACTGCGTGAGAACATTTGTTAACCCGGCCAACAAACTAGGAGGGTGTCTTTTACCCTGTATGCCTGATTTCTCGAGATCATCCAGAGCATTCAATATTTTATTCTCGCTCAGATCCCAACCAAGCCCATTCCACGTGCAATAGCTGACTCCATCCTTCCAAGGTGACCTTTCCTGGGAATCTTCGGAGTAGGTGGAGGAATCCTTTGACTTAGTACCTGTGCTCGAAATATTAGTGTTGATAATTACCATTTCAGCCTTTCGCATTACCCTGGTAAAAGTGGTGCATACAAGAATCAGTCCACCCGCCCTGTTTCTCTTTGATTTTCCTTTTGAGATGGTTGAACACACATGCGACAGTTTTATGGGGATCAGGCCCAAATCCCATGAGCAACTTGACATCTCTTTCTTCATCATAACTTTTTTCATGATCACCCATCGACCTGACAATGAGCCGGCCGCCTTCCTCAGCGTCAGACGTTAGATACGTACTCCCTCCATCGAGGCCGGATACTGGTAGAGAGACAACATGAAGCCCGTCATGTGCACGCTGGAACATAACAAGAAGAGCATCCTTTTGGATTGAAATGTTCTTCGTTCCATGAAGCGGACCCATCCACGGCGCTATCACCCAGCTTAGCGATGGCCCAACAGGGGTTAGGGGAGCTTGGGCCATACTGGCAATCTTAGCTAAAGCCATCCATCGCTCAACTAATCCCACCGGCTTGCCGAATGGTAACTCAAGAATCCCCTTCCCCCTTGCAGTACACCCATACTCAATGACCCGATATCCGTCCCCGAGTATTATTGTATGCGAATTCCATCCACTTTCAGGCACAATCTCAATTATATCTTTAAGGGCCACATATTCCCATGGCCCCTGGAAGACAACTCTGCCGTCCACACCCCCGATTCGGGAACCTGCCCAAAGCCTAACCCACGGTTAAATTGCTGAAAATTCTGGGTTTTAGAGTTGCTCTTACCAAGGGCCATCACCGAACCTGTACTTCAGACAAAATTGCAAAGGTCCCAACCTAGAATCGTAATCGAGGTCGAGTACAAAGAGATCCCTTCTTCCCGGGTGCTGCATTTTCTCCTGTTATACCGAGCATCAGTTGAGATTTCTGCAATTGCTACCCGAGCAAAGTAAATGGGGATGCGAACCCATCCATCGTGCAGTGGGGTTTCTTCGAATGGCGCCGGTGTCCATGTTCCACGACCGTTAGTAGAATACCAAAGAAGCACCGTGAATCTGTCTGCAGGGTTGATTGTAGCATCTTTGCTTGCCTCTATCTGCATCAGTGCATGGAACCTGAGAGGTGAATTCTGGAAACAAGTGCTCGAGACCCCCAAGGGAGGATGAAGAACCGGAGTGAAGTGAAGTTCTGACATTTCTGCTACGAAGTGATCACCGCTATAACCAGGTTGTAAGATAATAGCTGGACCAATTTTCAAGATAAACCAGATGGTGGTGATGTTTGGGGGTAGCGATCATAGGTGCGGGGTGGGATCCACTCTCAAAGATAGATATGATACCAGTGGTACTTTCCCCTCACATTGCTTTTTACACGGCTGCATTAGTCTACTGATGCAGTACAAGGGTAGATCATGAATTCATGGTACAGAGCAGGGGTAGTGCAAGGTGATTTTAGGCGGCACTTTGGTACACTGCAACTGAAGCAACATTTCAACAGAATAAATATGTTTGTGGTGCAGAACCTCTTAAACTGAATCCTTTACCAAGATATCCTCTCACCTCATGTTGTAGGTGTTTTCAGTTATTACATCTGTAGACAAGAAATACAATATTAAATAGTATACCAATATATTCTCTAGATATAGGTAATGCCATTTTCAGGAATAGCATGATCTCCTCTACAGAGCTTTGAGTTGACCAATAGCTCCTGAAGTGTATAAAATGGGACTAGGTTTTAAGGAGTTACTTACCACACTACAATTAGCCTTTAGGAGTGTTTGATTTGATGAACTTATGAATTTATTAATATTCCTCACTATGATTTTACTTGATTGATCTTCCTGGTCCAAAAAGAAACACTATTCTCATGATGTTTTACTGTAAGTGTACTACACTTACTGAGACATTACTTATCACTGTACCATGAATTCATGATCTACCCTTGTACTGGTACTTGTACAGGGACCTATTTGAACATGGGTCAAGAGAGCGCCAATCAGGCATAACACGAGCGAGCAGATGGTTAATTTAGTTCTCCCCTCCCGGTAAGATACTCCGCCAAGCCACAGGCAATCCCACGGGGGCTCAAAGCGTGATTGAAAGACACCCGAGATCCAGTCCATATCAGTAATTGGTATTCGGTTCAACTACCCTTCGCCTCTCAGGTAATACCGGGAATTGCTTAAGCTTTAACCAACAGAAATGCACCGACGATAGCAAGAGTATGGATAATTGTATATTGAAAGAAGAGGAAAAAACAAGTCTATTAAAGGAAAAATGGTTAATTTAAAGTGCCCACAACCAGATTTTCCCAATCCGTCAGCTTCCCCAATGCCATCACCACGATTCACCATCTACCACTACACCATGAACCAGGTCGAGAATAGTCTAATAGTGATAAATGAAACTAAACTCCCCGGGTGTGGTCTCGTAACGCCTATAAGACTTTTTCTGTGCGTCCTTCAATCCCTTGTTGAACTCACTGCCACAATAGTAGCGAGCAAACAAACCCTTAATCACCGCATCATTACGAACGTACATGTAGTAAAGGGCTGTTTTACCTGCACGATCCTTGGCCAACGCGTTAGGGTTGAGCCTCATGATCGCATCTATGACCTTGGAACTCTTCCCCTGGCAAATGGCGTAGATCAAGGGAGTGGCACCGGACCAATCTTTGACATTCAGCTTTGGTTCAAAGGCCAACACCAGCTGGAGGGTGGGCAAGCAGTCAGTGTCGATAGCCTTGTGCAAGGGAGAACTACCGGTGGGGTCCCTACGGCCATCGACTTGATGACCGAGACGCCAGAGAGAGTACATGATGGCGAAGTTCCTGCTAGCAATAGCAATGTCGAAGGGTGTCCAGAGTTGCAAGTTACGGATCTCAGGGTTGCCGCCGGCCTTCACCAACAGCACAAGGATCAAAGGACCAGCAGATTTGGCGGCTCGGTGGAGTGCAGTCTCGTGGCGGCAGTCGAGGAAGTTAGGGTCAGCACCTGCTTTTAGGAGGAACGCGACACAGGTTACATCGTTTGCGCCCACCGACTCGTGGAGGGGTGCACCAACAGGCGAGAGTGACGCATTGCGAGCTCCCTGGGACTTGCAGCCTTTGCCGGAAGTCCATGCGGGGAAGTTAAGGGTCTGTGCCTTCGGACATAGATGTTGGAGCAAGACGATGTTTTTTGTACGGGCGGCATGACGGATACCCTCCTTAACAAGCTCGGGATGAAAAAGGATGCGGAATTCCTTGCTTACAAGGACAAGATTGGCGATCTCTCTAACAGTGACGGCTGTGCTCTCGCCCTTCACTTGCCACTCAAGAACTTTCATGAGGACCCAAGATGGCACATTTTGAATGCTTATCCTGCGTTTGGAAACAAGGATGATCTCAGTCGCACTAGCTTCTGTATTTGCTGTATCGAGTTCTTCAATACGGCTCCTCTTGCGGGCAGGGAGGCAGGGCATAGAAATATCGCCAGATGTCATCTCGACATGATGCTTCTCGCCGCTCAATTTCCGTGGAGGTTCCGGGCAAATGTGGGTAGGTTTGGAGCGTCTTGGGTGATTTGACTGAGTAACACCCGCTTGCTGAGCACTCCCCTGCGGATGTTTCACCTGCGGCTGGCCCCCCTGCGGGGCGCTCACTTGCTGGACTGGAGTAGATGGAGCCTGAGGGCGCACTTCCATAACCCGGGGGTTGAAGAGACCCTTTGAATTTGTATAGGGATTGTAGGGCAGCATCTTGATAAGAATTTTCTATGAATAAACGAAAGCGTGAAAATGTAACGACGGTGATTGGCGAGTAGCTACTGAAGGAACAGACGAAGGTTTCCGTGGGGGAAGAAAGAGGGAAAGGTGGAAACTGGCAGGAGAGATAAGGAGTGCGTATCGGCGTTAGTCGTAGTAGCAATTGGAAAAGGAAGGTGGGAGGAGGAGAGTGAAAGAAACGAGCGGCCAGGCTGCTGTTCCAAGGAAGCCAGTTGGTGAAATGGAGGTTGGTATGGGACTTTGGCATTTTACACTACCTTCTATCACCAAGGCAACACTGGCTTCCTTTCTGCCAAGTTCATTTCTATGGAGTTCTAGGGCCATCGGGAGGGTAACTAGGGCACGGAAATTCATACTTGAGTTCAATAAATTTAGGCCAATTATTGGACCCTCCAAGAGCAATAATTTGTCTAATATTCCCAGTCATAATGCGATAGGTATCATCGTCTTGGAGTCAGGGCTGCTCCCCCGCCCGCCGGCTCTAACCCCACCTCACATCCTGGGGTACAGGCTTATCGCAGCTCGCCCCAACACTAATGCTATATTTTGCACATTACTCGGAAGCAAATGAGGTCATCAAATTCTTCCATTTGACAAAGTTTACCAATATCATACGTACATTCTTCTAGCTATCTCGTATTGGAAAGGTCTTGTCCTTCATCCGGAACTAGATGTATTCTGTGCCCAAAGCCCCTTACTGATTTACTCCGCCCTGACTACGTTCAAATATTTTCATTCTGCTTCATCCCCATAAGTCTCTTCGACATTGCAAGAAACGATAATTTTGCTCTCAAATCGGATCAACCTTCTAATGTTTCTAATCTTTTAAACTCTTCGCTGCTTGACAGTCCGCCGGATACCCCATGATCTATACCACCCTCTTTCCTATGCGACCACACTCATCACTTGGGTTCGAGCTCTGGGCCCTTATACAGTGGAGTGGGACCACGTCGCCAATGGACTGGTCTGGACTTGGATACCGTAGTTCGCAATTGCGCAAATTTTCAGGGGCAATGTTGAAGCAAAATATCACCTCTTCCCAAACCTCCCCCCCCCAAAAAAAAATCTTACCATACCCTTCCCCTGATCGGAGACTTTGTGAGACCCTAAGGAATGCCAATCCATTATAATGAGGTTGTGATGCATTCTTTGTATTGTATTATTATCTCTCAAGAAGAATTTGGAGCACACTTGGGTGGAAAAAGGACCTGCTAGTGGTGGAGTAAGCCCCACACAACCAATCACTCGTGCTTCTCTAATCCTCCTGTCAAAATACCGGTAATCGTTTGTCCGTCAATTGTACTCAAACCAACCAACCACCGACTTCCCCGCGAATCAACTTCTCTAGAGCATCATTTTTCACCCGCTCATCTCCCATCCCTTCCATTCAAAAAAAACAACTCCTCGAGCAAATCTGGTCGTTGTCCATAACTACTTGGTATCATGCTCGGGCAGGAGGGTGTCGTGGCGTGGGTTAGGGTTAAACTGAAACTGTGCCTGAGACGGATGTAAGCTGTGCGCTAAGTTACCGGAGTCCGCTGGCCGCCACGTGAGTCTGTCATAAGTTTGGTCCTGGCTGCAACGCCGACTGGATTCTTTCACTATTAAAGTTATCACACGGGCTGTATTTCCCCCACCAAACTATCCAAACAACCACTGTACTCAAGTAATGTTGGGAAGCTAATGCAGATAACCCCCTCCCCCACCGCCATAGATTTCTTCCTTTTTTCTTTTCCACCCCTCCCTTCTCTTCCCCCCCCATCCACCCATGACTCCACACTCACCATCTCCTCCGCCATCCATCACTGTTCAGCGAACCCCAACACCATCTACTTCTTCGCAACTCCAACCACAAGATGATGCCCCTGAAACGCCGCTGTCGCCTACTGCGACCCCTCGGGCCCCAACATGCATGATTATATGGCGATGGATGCAAGGTCCTAACCCACCCAGAGACGTTACTTTCACGCCGTTCTTCGCCAAATGGCAGGATCTACCATTACGTTTTCTCTACCGTGGCCCTCTGAAGCGGAGGAGATGGCAGCTAGTGCTGCTGCTGCTCTTCTGGTTCACCTGGTTGACAACTTTCATCACTGTTGTCCATAATTCTAGGTTTATTTCCAAGGTGAATGGGCAGGATCCCTATTTCCTTAGCTGCGCCTCGGTATTGTGGTAAGTCCCCTTTTATTTTTCCAATTCGTCCAATGTTTTCTCTTGTTTCCGTGGATTACCTGCAATGTTTCTCGGAGAATATTGCCGTTTGATGACTGGTGTATAGGTCGAAGAATAACTTATGTGGGATCGACGGCGAGTATTGCCGACCATTCGCTAACTCCACAGCATCGTTTCGATGTCCTGCTGGCTGTCTAGGGACCAACGTACTTAACCCGCGTGCGGTTGGCGAGCAGATCGTTGCATATCGACCGTTGGTTATCGGTGGGCCTTCCGGGAACTCTGCCGGTGGGTTACTTGAGGATGCAGTTTACCGGTCAGATTCGTTCATCTGCTCTGCCGCCATCCACTCTGGACTGATATCCAATCGGTACGGCGGATGTGGGGCATTTACACTTGCTGGTTCACAAAGTTACTTCCCGTCGTCAAAACACCACGGGATTTCTTCAATTATGTTTGACGCGACATTCCCATCCTCCTTCAACTTCCTCTCAGGGGTAAACACATCTCACTGCCACGACCTCCGCTGGCATCTCCTCGCCGTATCTCTTCTCTTCACAATCCTCTCCTCCCTCTTCGTAACCTCCATCCCCATCTTCTTCGCCTCCGTTTTCACAGGAACATTCTTCCACGTAGGTCTAGCCTCGGATCCACCCTTCTCCACAAACCCTTATGACCTAATCTCCATCTCTCTCGCCCGCTTCCTCCCTGCCGCCTTCTGCGCCTTCGTAATATACAAATATGCGGCAGCCTATACCTTATCCCTCTCCCGTTACCACACAATCGAGAAGACCCTCCTTTGGCTCTCGGGCCTCTGGATCGGCGCGCTGAACAACATCACCCTCGATCCAATAATTCCCATATACCGCCTAACTGGCCGCGACCTCCGTCAGCAGCCCAACGCGATAACAGCATTGGTAATTGTAGTCCTCCTCCTACTTGTAATAATCATCTTCCAAGCGCACTTCTTCCGCCTCACGGGCCGAATGCCGAAATACCTCCTGACGTATGCCGGCTTCGGCGTCGGCCTCTCCCTCCTTGCCGCGATCCCCGGCTCCGCGCTGCGCATACACCACTACATCCTCGCCCTTCTCCTCCTCCCTGGCACCCGCCTACGCAACCGAATGAGCCTCTTGTACCAAGGTCTCCTCGTCGGACTATTCATTAACGGCACAGCAAGGTGGGGTTTCGCCGGCATCGTGGAAACCCCAGAATCCCTCCGCGGCCGAGACGGCCTCCACTTCTCCACCATCCCTCGCCTCGTCACGCCCGAGATCCCCCCCGCGGGCAACAACGTTACGTTTTTCTGGGAGAACGTAAAGACCCGTGGGTGGGAGGAGGGCGTTAGCGTAGTCATCAACGACGTGGAGAGGTTCCGCGTCAGTGGGGTTTCCGGCACTGCTACTTGGAACAGGACTAGGACTGCGGCGGGCGGTTGGGAGAAGGTGTATGTTCGGGTGGGCTACTGGGGCACTGGGGGGATGGGGGATTATACTGCCGCTGGGGTGGTGGAGGCGGATGGGACTTGGAGAGCACCGGGTGGTGGGAGGACTTGATGGAGACATGGTCTATTCTTTGATATCTAGGGCGTTCTATTTTTATATATTTTTATATATTTTTATATTTTTATGGGGATGCGTATTAGAACTAGAGTTGCAGGTTCAGCCTTGCAGGAGATAAATCATGAATCATGAATTATGGCTCGGTCAAGTGTATAGCAGGCGGAAGTACAAGTGTAATGCTGTATTAGTAAGAAAATGTTATACAATTCGGCCAGCTAGTTCCGGCGTATATAGTCTGGGTATCATTCCTAAAAGTACTAGTACAGTAGCAACAAGTGTCTCGGAATACCACGACAAAAAGACATTAACTTAATTCCCTTTAAGCGACTGCCAATCCGCCTTCTCACTCTTCCGCACCCACTCTGATATTATTCCCCGGTAGTCTCTCGGGGAATATGTCCCGAACCACTCTCTAACCCCCCCTTTTCTCCGTCGATTCAGGCCTAAATCTCCAACAAGCGTGTCCAAATACTACAGAATCTCAGCCCAGGTTCACGCAAGCAGCCTCAGGAAGAAATGGGGGAAGGAAAACTCACAGGCATAAACTCAAACGTAAGATTAGCACACTTCTCCCCAAGATTTAAATACCTCCTCTTCATCCAAACATTCACCTCGGCCACTTCCTTCTCCATTTCCTCATTCTTCCCCTCTAGCGGAATACGCCCATCCAGATACGCAGTCGCCCACAGCGCCTGCAATTCCGCAATCATGCCGGTCGCAGGAGTATGCGTCATGCCCACAAACACGAGTCTGTGATCGCCCATATCTGCCATGGCCGGCGGCGCGAGGAGACGGTAGAGCCTGTATGGCGTATTGCTCCGCTGGATAGGTTTGTATGGCGGCGGCGTGAATAGCAACGGGAAGAGAGTTTTTATCTTGTCCTCGGCGGTGGATTCGAGGGTTTCCCAGTGTTCGGGCGAGCTTTCTTTAGGTACTGGTATACCGGCTTGCAGGGCTAATTCTGGGTTGTCATGGGCTAGGGGTGTAGTATCCCGGACCCAACCGGTGCACCATATGTGTGCATCAGAGGAGAGGGGGGTGCCGTTCGCTAGGTGGATGGTTGTGCCCTCTATGGAGGTTATGCTTGTCCGGTGGATGGTAATTGGGGAGTTTGGAGCGTGGAGGTGAGTTAAGAAATCGGGCTGGGAGATTACTCCTGTGGGAGATGAGCCTGACCAGAAGCCACTGATCGAGGGGTTAGCATGGCGTGAAGCTACGGGTAGGCAACTGAAGGAGAGAATGCCATTTACCCCATTTCACCAAGCTCTGGTATCAATTTCCGGCCGTTCTCGGATGTATACATGCCATGTTTCTTCATGATGATGTTGTTTAATGTTTTCCAGTACGTCTTTACTATCCACCTTCCTACTGACGTTCCATGCAGAAATTTAGAGGTCATTGTCTCGGAGTCATATATGCACGGACTTAAAGCGTTGAATAACCGCTTTGATGCCATCAGTGGGGAAGTCTTCCCAAGTGCTTTTGCGGAGAACATTGACTACCCCTCGTTAGCTTTTACTCGCTTCGTTGTTATTATTAAAGATCACTTACGCTAACACTCTGGCCTGACTCCCTGATAATCCAATCAACCCTCTTGCCTGCAGCAACACACATATATGCTGCGTCGAAAGCGCTTTTACCCCCGCCATATATAGTTACTCTATCAACCCCCTGTCTGTCTGTTTGCAACATTTTCTGCCACTTCTTCATCTCCGCCGAATGGAACACTACCATTTTCGGGTCCATAATACGAATGTCCGTAGGTATAAACGGCATTGATGTCAAGCCAGTTGCCATAATCAACTTCTCACACCTGACTTCATCCTCCCCTTCACCTTTACTTGCCAACTTCAGTATCCACTCTTTCGTATCGGCATCTCTGTCGATGCTATCAACTGCTGCCTCAAACACGATTCTACTTAAAAGGTTGTACTTCTTGGCGAACTGGACCAGGTAATTCGCTACATCTTCTCCTCGAATGTAGCCCTCTGGAGTTGGTACGCCTTCCAGTGGTGTGTCGGAAATCTCGAGCGCACCCACGGCGTTATGCGTTATTAGACCATCGTAGACGCGGTCCTTGGACCAAGTTCCTCCGATTGTTGTTGATGATTCCAATAGGAGTAGTGTATGCGCAGGGTTTACTTGCAAGTAGGTTTTTGCGGCAATTAGACCAAACCAACCTATTCGTCCCATTAGCTAAATCTGTTATACCACCTTGCACATCCGGACGAGAGCTTGCTTGCCTGCGCCAACGACAATAACTTTAGGCATTCTGTAAGAGGTGTCAAGGTGTTTAGGCAGGATTCTCAATATCGCGCTATGGTATCCGCAGAGAGGGGGGCCAGACTGGTATAAGAGTAGGAAGATCTGGGATCAGAAATAGACATGTAATGGTGTGGTACTGTACAGACCAGGCAGGTGAGAATTCACCGATGATAAGTAAACCTTTCATCAACAAGGTTGTTGCTTCCTGGACAGGGTTCATTGGTCGGGACCAAACGCATCGGGTCCGTGCAACTAGTGGCTTTATTCCGTTACCAGGCCCATGGCCAAAGGATCCAGATGCCGCATTATTGGAAAGGATTCGCCTGCCGCTATGATAGTACTTGTAGGTTGAGATAAGGTAAGAGCTGAAGTAAAACGTCCAACAAGATCGAAAAGAGCTCTAAAGAACTTTAGTCCGAGCCGCAAAGAGTTAAGCGAAGGTGATTTATTCCAAATTTGCAATGGGCCATGAAGCAGACTCCTGCCGGTACTGTAAGAGTATAAGTACCGGTAGTTTAACGTATAGTACTAGCGGCAAGCTGACCACTCTAAGTAACGCAGAGTAATACGGTAGCTCGATAGTCTACCGGTAGGTGAAGTTCTTTAATTCCACAGACTGATGTTGAACTTTGATAGTCCGTTCGAGTTTGGGGGGTTCTACAAGTACCGGTACTTCTAAGGCCCGAATGAGTGCTTGTCTTAGGCAAGCACTGTACCTGAAAACGGGAATTAAGGGAATGTACTGTACTCTAGTACAAATATGGTAAACAGTCTGTGCGGATATGAGCCCCCCAATACGGGATATGCCCCCTGTTTTCGGGTACTTGCCCGGGACAAATACCGGTACCGGTGGACGCCCTCGCGCCCCTGGTAAAGGTGTGGGGGCAGTCTGGTGAACAAGGCTTCATAGCCTTGAGGATTGCTGGAGCATGAGACGGTAATCGTTCCAGTCGTGCGGCTTGATAGGAGTAGAGGGGGTGGGGTTAGTGTTGCTGGTATGGTGAACTGACAGTATGATATACCTTTCAGTACTAGTACAAGTAACTCGGGCTCAGTGTCGGTCCTGTGCTCGAGATACTATACCCGGTATTTGGAATTCCCACCCCTTGTAATATTTGTCCATCCTCCAGGAGCTGGCTCCACTACCGATATTGTAACGAGGCTAGTGCCGCAGTTTGTTCCGAGATCGTGGATACTGTACTTGTAAGTCACCAGTGCTCGGGGTAGGTGATCTTTAGGAGCCGGGGAGGGAGCGAAATGTTGGTGAAGGACCGACACCAGGGGCAGTCGTTCGCAAGGAGAGCCTGGGTCGGTTTGAATATCCCTAGAATAGTACGAGGAATTTCCGCTTCCTCGTCTTCCCTCAAGGACAGTCAATTCCCGTCTCCCGTGACAATTGTCCTCGTTCCCCTTTCTCTCTCCCGAGCTCCATCCGTACTCGTACAAGTATCATAAATTTAATCACAAAGAGCATAGCCACCGGTACTGTACAGTCAGTACACCATTCACTGCGTGAACGGGAAAAAATCTGCCCCAAACCCGAGGACGGAGGTACAAGTACGCCCCCGGCTTACTGTAGCGAAACATCATTCCGAGGTTTCGCGTTGGGAGGCGGCGCGTCTCCCGTGCTACTGTATGTGCGACACGAGCATTGCGAGTATTAGGGGTGTCATACCAGCGCTAACGGACTCGCGATATGGGGTCTTTGGGCTGCCGCCAGGTATTATACCCAATCCATTTTTGTGGTCAGCGCTGTGGAGGTTATTCCATATACCCAGTTACTCAGTCATGTTTACCTGTCCGTCCCGGATGGGGGCGCCGGGCACCAGGACTAGAATATATGGCCAATCGTCAATGCCTACTTGTGTATGTGCGAGCAAACGAAATTATGCTCTCAATGTTCCGCCACTTTTTGCCTAGAACGAGAATCTAAGAATCTTATATAAGGAGTTCAGTAGTTTGTACCTTGGCGTTTTTTCGTCATGTATATGCTCCACCGTACCGGGAAAGATTTTCAGTTGGCCGAGGGGATATCCTGCTCATACAGGGGATATCCCCATGGCCAGGTAGGCCACTTTCTCAACAGGATGTTCTACCAAACCAGTAAAAATTAGTTTTTCCCAGCCAACAAGCTAAATAATTATCATAATGATACCGCATTATTTGGCGAGAACGTGCAGGCGCTAGTCTGTTGAATTAAAGTGTGGCAGTGTTACCCCATAGTTGCAGATCTAAGACATCATCAAGAAATTTGTTTACTGATCTCTATCTACAAATTCAGTCTCGTCCTCATTTTCATTTTCAGGAAGTAGACATTCTAAATCTTCCCTAAAAGGATTATCCTCATCACCAGGCCCTCCCAGTGCTCTCCAGTCTTCGACCTCTGTACTAGTACTGGATATTCCATTGTGTAGTTTCTAATTGCTAATTACAAGATCTTTGGATAGAATGCTCTTGATAGAGAGCTCCGAATCACAAGACCCATCAATAGGTAGTAATAAGCCAACTTTGTGAAATGAGGTAACAATGATGTCTCTTCTTGTAGAGCAGAATGCATGTCATGCTTCTGCCAAACACTTTTGAATCAAAACCCACTGCTCTTCCATTGTACTTGCTTTCCCATGGTCATGTAAATCTTCTCTGTTCTTTGCTTATAGAGATCTATAGTATCCTCAACCAAGATATGTAATATATCCTTAAGTGGCTTATTGATTGCCACATCGAGGGGT